GCTGGAGTGCAGTGGCACGACCTTGGCTCACTGCAACCTCCACCTCCCGGGTTAAAGCGATTCTCCTGTCTCAGCCTCCTAGGTGGCTGAGATTACAGGCATGTGCCACCACAGCCAGCTAAGTTTTGTGTTTTTAGTAGAGATGGGGTTTCACCATGTTGGCCAGGCTGGTCTTGGACTCCTGACCTCAGGTGAGCCACCATGCCTGGCCCAAGCGATCCCCCTGACTCAGCTTCCTGAGTAGCTGAGACTATAGACACTACCATGCCAGGCTAATTTTTTCAATTTTTTGTAGAGATGGGGTCTCGTTATGTTGTCCGGGATAGTCTCAAACTCCTGGACTCAAGTGATCTGCCTCGGCCTCCCAAAGTGCTGAGATTAGAGGCATGAGCCACCACACCTGACTGAAATGTTAGAACTTTTAAAAGAACTTAATAAAAAAAAAGTTCCCTTATCTATAAAAGGAAAAAATAGGCTTCACTATAATTTAACATTCACATGAATAGTAATTCACATGTTTATATATAAGTGTGTATGTTATGGGGTGTATTTCAAAAAGACTGTAGCCTGGGCAGGATTCTAGCCTGAGCTCAAGAGTTCGAGACCAGCCTTGGCAACATGGCGAAACTTCTTCTGCACAAAAGAAAAATATAAAAATTAGCTGGGCGTGGTGGTGCATGCCTGGCTTCAGGTGGGGACTCCACCTCAAAAAAAAAAAAACAACCCTGTCTCAAAACACTTTTATTAACTAACGTGTAAGTTTTAACTTGAATAGCCAGATTTAAGCCTAGAATTGAAGCTAGACCCAGATAAAATTACGTAGAAAGTATAGAATGTTTTGTTGGTTTAAAAACAAAAACCTCCCACATTTTTAAAATTAATATTGTTTTGTTGTTGTTTGTTTGAGATGAAGTCTTGCTCCATTGCCCATGCTGGAGTGCAGTGGCACAATCTTGGCTCATTGCAACTTCCACCTCCCAGGTTCAAGCAATTCTCACTTACAGGTGTACTCCACCACACCTGGCTAATTTTTGTATTTTTTGTAAAGACGGGTTTTCACCATGTTGGCCAGGATGGTCTTGAACTCCTGACCTCAAGTGATCCGCCTACCTTGACCTCCCCAAGGTGCTGGGATTACAGGCATGACCCACCGCACCTGGCCGATAATTTTTTTTTTTTATCATGATGATATTCTAGTATCATTTAGAGCTGAGCTAATTTGTTTGCATAATTAGTATTATTATTGTTTGCTTCTGTAATTTACTTTTCATAAATGAAGAAGGTATGCTTTCATGTTTGAGACTTGATACTTTGAGAGTCTAAAAAACTACTACCTTGTATGTTTTAGGTACTCAGTGAATACGTATATTGAAGGAATATAACTAAATCTTTCTGAGAAAGCTTAGCTGTATTTGAGGATGGCAAGGGAAAGAAAAAGATTGCTTAAATAGAAGATGACCTCCTTTTCTATAAGCCACAAAACCCCGATTTTTTTCTTTTTCATAGGCCTTTGCATTTGGAGCCTAATGTTTCTAGTGTATATTCTCCAGAATTTGGCGAAGGTAGTCTAGTTTATTTGTCATTCTATTCCAATTTTGCTGAATTTTACTTATTAGATGACATATTTGGACTCATCAATACTAAAATGTTCTTAGTGGAAACCTATCAAAAATAAAAATACCTAGTAAACATTTGTCAAGTCATTTGCCAAGGTCTTTGACTTTTGTCATAATCTGTACTACAGTTATCCATGTGAGGTTTAGTAACCAGTGGATTGTAGTCATTGCCGTAGTAATTCTTTTTTTTTTTTTTTTTTAAGTTTTTTGCCGGAGTAATTCTTAAGGTTGTAACTCCTAACAGCTGAAAAGCCTCTGATGTAGATTTTATTGTACTGTGTCTAACTCTTTGTGTCACTTAGTACTTACAGTAACATGTAATCATGAAAAACTAATATAGATATGAAGTATAGACTTAGAGGAGATTTTTTAAATGTAATGCACTGCAACTAAGTCATACTCAAAGCTGTCTGGCAGTTTACTGATGTTACAGAGGGAACTTAAGCTGGCATGTTCTGGAATTTGTCTCTACAGAAAGTAAACCCCAGTTGTTTAGTTTCTAGGCAAAAGCACAGTAAAACTTAGTATTTAAAGATGTGTATAATAATATTTAAGTGATAACAAACATTCCTGTTAATAAATGAAACATGACATGACATTTTTTCTCAGGTATAGAATGAGCCAAGGAGACTCAAACCCAGCAGCTATTCCTCATGCAGCAGAAGATATTCAAGGAGATGACCGATGGATGTCTCAGGTAAAAGGGAGTGCATGTATATCATTCACATGAGTTGAGTCTCTCCAGTTTTTTGTCTGTTTTGTTTTGGTTTTTGAAACAGGGTCTCAGTGTGTTGCCCAGGCTGGCCTCAAACTGCAGAGCTCAAGTAATCCCCCACATCAGCCTCCCATATAGCTGAGACAAGTGGCACATATCAATATGCCTGGCTTCTTCAATTTTTTGAGGTTTTTTTGACTAAAGGAGCAGTTTAAAAAAAAAACAAACAAACTCTAATCCTGTGACAGGTTGTACAAAGGGGGATTTTAATAGTCAACAATAATTTGTTACTGTAAGTAAAAATGTAATGTTACAAATGTCCTGCCTGGTCACCAATCTGATGTTGGAACTAGGAAATATTTAAAGATTTTTTATTTTGTGGTAATTTAAAAACGACACAAATGTTACAAATTTAGAAAGAAGTCTTCGTCTTCTTTCTAAATTTCTAACAGTTTCTGGACTTCCCAGTTGTTAACATTTTACCACTTCTGCCTAATTATTATTATTGTTTGTTTATTTATTTTTTTTTTTGAGACAGAGTCTCACTCTTGTCTCCCAGGCTGGAGTACAGTGGCATGATCTCAGCTCACTGCAACCTCCACCTCCTGGGTTTAAGCAATTCCCCTGCCTCAGCCTCCCAAGTAGCTGGGATTACAGGAACCCGCCAATGCGCCCAGCTAATTTTTGTATTTTTAGTAGATACAGAGTTTCAACCATGTTGGTCAGGCTGGTCTCAAACTCCTGACCTTACGACTCGCTTGCCTCGGCCTCCCAAAGTGCCTGGATTACAGGTGGGAACCACTGAGCTCGGCCCACATCTGCCTACTTATTGTGTCTGTATCTATTTGTTTTTGTTTATTGTTGTTTTTGGCTTTTTGAAACAGAGTCTCACTCTTGCCCAGGCTGGAGTGCAGTGGTGCAATCTTGGCTCACTGCAACTTTCATGCCCCTGCCACTCTGGGTTCAAGCTATTCTCGTGTCTCAGCCTCCCAAGCAGCCGGGATTCACCATGCCCAGCCAATTTTTGTATTTTTAGTAGAGACAGGGTTTCGCCGTGTTGGTCAGGCTGGTTTCAAACTTCTGACCTCAAGTGATCTGCCTCTCTTGGCCTCCCAAAGTACTGGGATTACAGGCATGAGCCCTCACACCCCACTGTGTCTGTATCTATTTGTATATACTAACATAGTGTTTTTTTCTGAAGCATTTCCACTCATTTCCCTTTACCTCTGAATATTTCAACATGTTTTCTTAAGAACAAGGATTTTTCTTAATTAACTATAGGATAGTTATTAAAATCAGGAAATGTAATGTTGATATAATGCTATTAATCTAGAGACCATATTTAGATTTCTCCAGTTGTTCCAATAATTTTTTTTTTTGAAGATAGGGCAGTATGCAGTGCCTCATGCCTGTAATCATAGCACTTTGGGAGGCCAAGGCATGTTGGGAAGCCAAGGCAGGGAGGATCACTTGAGCTAAGGATATCAAGGCTGCAATGAACTGTGGTTGTGCCAGTGCACTACAGCCTGGGAGACGGACTGAGACCTTGTCTCTGAAAAAAAAAAAAAGTGTACCACAGTTGATTTGTCCATTTTCTCTTTGATGGGCATGTAGATCATTTATGCCTTTATGAAAAGTCGTAACTAGGCCAGGAGTCATGACTCACACCTGTAATCCCAGCACTTTGGGAAGCTGAGACAGGTAAATCGCTTGAGCCCAGGAGTTCAAGACAAGCCTGAGAATCATAGTGAGATCTCCTCTCTATTTCTATTTTTATTTAAAAAAAAAAAAAAAAGCAGGGGCGGGGGGAGTAGTAACTAAATTAGATACCTTCATTATTCTTAAGTTAATAGACTTTAATGAGCACTGGCTAGAGAAAAATCAATCAAATGTAAGAAAAAAATATAACACAAATATCTTAAAAATATTTTGGAGACAGAGTCTCGCTCTGTCAGCCATGCTGGAGTGCAGTGGTACCATTACGGCTTACTGCAGCTTTGGCTTCCCAGGCTTAAGTGATCCTTCCACCTCATCCTCTCAGGTAGCTGGGACCACAGGTACATGCCACCATGCCAAGCTAATTTTTTTTATTTTTTGTGGAGACAGTGTCTCACTATATATTGCCCAGGCTGATGATCTTGAACTCCTGGCCCCAAGTGATCCTCCTGCCTCAGCCTCCCAAAGTGTTGGGATTACAGGCATAAGCCACCATGCCTGACTTTATTTTTAAGTATTGTATACTGAAATATTTATACTTGAAATGATATATCCTAAGTTTACTTCAAAAATAATCTGGTGATGGAGTGGGGGTATGACTGAAATAATACAGGCCATAAATTAAATGATTGCTATAGCTGGTTATGGATTCATGGGGTTTCATTCCCTCTGAGTGGAGGTGTCACTCTCTCTGTTTTTGTGTACATCTGATATTTTCCATAATAAAAAGGAGTTTTTTGTTTTGTTTTGTTTTTGAGACAGAGTCTTAACTGTGTCACTCAGGCTAGAGTGCAGAGGCATGATCTTGGCTCACTGCAACCTCCGCCTCCTGAATAACTGGGATTACAGGCACCCGCTGTGATGCCCAGCTAATTTTTGTATTTTTTTTTTAGTAGAGATGGGGCTTTGCCATGTTGGTCAAGCTGGTCTTGAACTCCTGACCTCAGGTGATCCACCCACCTCGGCCTCCCAAAGTGCTGGGATTACAGGTGTGAGCCACCTTGTGCCCCACCTAAAAGTTTTTTTTAAGGGTAATGTTGAAAGACTTGGCAAATAGAAATCATATCATAACATATTAACCAGAAAAATAAGGCTCAGCAGCAGACTAAGGAAAATATACACAGTATATATTATAGATGAAACATAGATATCTTTTGTTATTATCAATAAAAATACCCTAAAAGAACTAATAGGTATTTCTTTTTTTTTTTTTTTTGAGACTGAGTTTCCCTCTTGTTACCCAGGCTGGAGTGCAATGGCGCGATCTCGGCTCACTGCAACATCCGCCTCCCGGGTTCAGGCAATTCTCCTGTCCCAGCCTCCTGAGTCTCTGGGATTACAGGCACGCGCCACCATGCCCAGCTAATTTTTTGTATTTTTAGTAGAGACGGGGTTTCACCATGTTGACCAGGATGGTCTCGATCTCTTGACCTCGTGATCCACCCGCCTCGGCCTCCCACAGTGCTGGGATTACAGACTTGAGCCACCGCGCCCGGCCTTAGGTATTTCAATAGACACGAAAGAAAGTGTTTAATTTTGTTTCCAAAAAGTACAAATTAGAAAAACATTAGAAGGAGAAAGAGAAATGTTAATATCTAATTCAGGTGCAAGTACAGTAAAAGCAGTTCTAACATATTGCTGGAGTCCTTATAGATTGGTATATAGCCCTTTTGTTAAGAATTTGGGGCCCTGTGAGGTGGCTAACTCCTGTAATCCCAGCACTTTGGGAGGCCGAGGCAGGTGGATCACCTGAGGTCAGGAGGTTGAGACTAGCCTGGGCAACATGGTGAAACCCTGTCTCTACTAATACAAAATTTAGCCAAGTGTGGTGGCACATGCCTGTAATCCCAGCTACTTGGGAGGCTGAGGTAGGAGAATTGCTTGAACCCGGGAGTGGAGGATGGAGGTCCAGCCTGGGTGACAGAATGACACTCTGTCTCCAGAAAAAAAAAGGAATTTGGAAATATGTCCAAAAATCCATAAAAATACCGATTTCCTTTGACCTAAGAATTTCCAACATAGGAAAAAGAAAATAGGTATATATCCCTTTATCATACTTAACTAGATTCACAAAAAGTAAGAGGCCACTGGCAAGTCTGTCCACAGGAAGAAGAGTGTGACCCAGGAGGCTGAGGCATGAAGATTGCCTAAGTACAAGAGTTCAAGACCAGCCTGGGCAACATAGACCCTCATTCCCCTTACCCCTCAAAAAAGCAAATAAAAATGTGTCACTGAGTGCATTCAGTAGAGTATTATGTTAGGTGCAGTGGCTTACACCTGTAGTCCCAGCACTTTGGGAGGCTGAGGCCAGTGGATTGTTTGAGGCCAGAAGTACAGCCTAGGAAACACAAGACCTTGACTCTACAAAAGATACAGAGAAAAGAAAAATTGCTGGGCATGGTGATGTGTACCTGTAGTCCCAACTACTGGGGAGGCTGAGGCAGGAGGATCACTGGAGTCTGAGAATTTGAGGCTGTAGTAAGCTATGATCATACACTGCACTCCACCTTGGGTAACAGGGTGAGACCTTGTCTCAGAAAAAGAATATATGACCATTAAAAGTTAACAATTATAAAAACTATGTTGGTACATAGAAAAACGTTTCCTGGGCTGGGCGTGGTGGCTCACGCCTGTAATCCCAGCACTTTGGGAGGCCGAGGTGGGCGGATCACAAGCTCAAGAGATGGAGACCATCCTGGCTAATACAGTGAAACCCCAACTCTAAAAATATATATATATATATATATATATATGTATGAAAAATGTTTCTAGGATGATGTTAAGTGCAACTATAATGGCTGCCATTTATCAAGTACCTAGTGCATGCCAGACGATAGCTGGGAATCTTTAACAACTTTAAAATGGAGTTACCAGCAGATGTTAAAACCAAGACTCAAATTATGTACTTGCTTAAGATCACTGGACTAGAAAGTGGGTAAGCTAGAATTTGAATGTTGGTTTTTCTGGCCCCAGACATACTGAGCCAGAAAGAGGTGTACATAATGCTTAAACTATGTAAAAGGGGTAACAGAGGACATGAAAAAGGATGAGAAAATACTGAAGTATGGTCATAGTTACTAGGTTAAGGTGGTAGGATTATAGATGTGTTGTTTTGGTCTTTTCTGTTTTTCCAAATTTATTACAACTATTATACTTTAGGATAAAAGTACGAGAACCTTTACCATAGCAGTCTTAAGTTCCATGACTCTATAAACACGAGCTATTTTATTGGTGTCAAAAAGTAGTTGGGGCCGGGTATGGTGACTCAGGCCTGTAATCTCAGCACTTTGGGAGGCAGAGGTGAGTGGATCGCTTGAGTTTGGACCAGCCTGGGCAATATTGCAACACCCATCTCTACAAACAAAATAACCAAAAAAAAATTAGCCAGATATGGTGAAATGCACCTGAGGCTGAGGCAGGATCACCTAAGGCCTCCCCAGCCTGAGCCTGGGAGGTTGAGGCAGCAATGAGCTGTCACTCACAGCTGCCACTGTATTCCAGCCTGGGTGACAGAGTGAAACCCTGTCTCAAAATCTCAAAAAAAGGAAAGAAAGGTAGTGTGTACTATAGTATCTGCAATAGGGAGTTGACGTGATAGGAAAAAACATCTGTTCACTAAACTTTGATTCTTGGTCATCATTCTTGCTGGAGCTCAGGAGTTTGAGACCAGCCTGGGAAACATGATATCTCCTCAGTTTAAAAATATTTACTGAAATAGTAATTTTTAAAATGTGTTTGCACAAAATATGGAAGCAAGGAAAAAGCTTTCCCTAATACTGTCACCCTAAAAGAGGAAGTATTTTCTCTTTCTTTTTACATATATGTATGTATGTTTGTTTGTTTGTTTGTTTAATTAGAGATGGGGTTTTGCCGTGTTGCCCAGGCTGGTCTTAAACTCCTGAGCTCATGTGATCTTCTCACTTTGGCCTCCCAGAGGCCTGGGATTATACACATGAGCCACCACACCTGGCCAGGGGTGTTTTCATAATCTGTAAAATTATTTCCAGAAGCGTTTTTATCACTGTACACTTTACCTGTGGCTGAATATCTGAGTTTTACCACAGCCTCATCTGCATTGGTATTGTCAACAGAAATACTTAAATACTAACTCTTCCTTAATTCCTAAGGGAAACAAAGTTGAATGTAGAGTTTGTGAAAAAGAGACAGCATTGGAAAGCTAGGCATGATAGTGGACACCTGTAGTCCTTGCCAGTGGGGAGGCTAAGGCAGGAGGGTCACTTGAGTCCAGGAATTCAGTCCAGTCTGGGCAACATAGCAAGACTCCATCTGTAGGGGGGAAAAAAGACAGTAGGCCTCTTCCTGGACCTTGACTGCAGACCTAGAGCATTGTGTAAATTTGTTTCAAGGGATGAATATAAAAGTTTAAACTGGCTGGGCGTGGTAGCTCACACCTGATTACCCAGAACTTTGGCAGGCCGAGGCAGGTGGATCACCTGAGGTCATGAGTTCAAGACCAGCCTGACCAACATGGTGAAACCCCATCTCTACTAAAAATACAAAAATTATCTGGGGATGGTAGCAGGTAGCTGTAAGCCCAGTTACTCTGGAGGCTGAGGCACAAGAATTGCTTGAACCCTGGAAGTGGAGGTTGCAGTGAGCTGAGATTGAGCCACTGCACTCCAACCTGAGTGACAGTGAGACTCTGTCTTCAAAAAGTAAAATAAAATAAAAATAAAAATTTAAACTGTGTCCTTTAGCATTGATGGGTTAAATATGTTTTTTCTTTTTCTCTCTCCTTTCCTTTTCCCTTCCCCTTCCTTTTCCGTTTCCCTTTTCCCTTTCCTTTCCCCTTTCCTCTTTTTCCCCTATCCCCTTTCCCCTTTCCTCTTTTTCCCCTTTCCCCTTTTTCCACTTTTCCCTTTTCCCCCTTTTTCCCTTTTCATCCCTTTCCCCTTACCCATTTTTCCCCTTTCCCCTTTCCCTTCCCTCAGGTCTCACGATGTTGTCCAGGGTGGTCTCAGATGCTTGGGCTCAAGCTGTCCTCCCACCTTGGCCTCCTGCAGTGTTAAGATTATGGGCACGAGCCACCACACCTGGCCAAAATCCATTTTAAAAAGTGTCTCATCCCTTGAGAACAAAAAGAGGCATTCTGGGAGGAAATTACTGTTTATAAACTTCGATTTGACTGAAAAGGATTGAGTCCTAGTTTGCCAGTGTCTCACATTTGAAAGTTACTAGATATTTTCAAAGTCTGCATTCAAATAAAATATATGGATCCTGATTGGATCATAGTTGAAAAAAATGATATAATACTTTATCCAAGTCTTGGAGCCATTTGAAAAATTGAATATGGACTGAATATTAGATGTTATGGGATTATTGTTTCTTTTCCTAGTTATGATAATAGTTTGTGGTTTTCTTTTACTTTTTTGTTGTTATTGTTTGCGTTTTATAAGATGTCCTTACTCTTAGGAGATGCATGCTGATTAAGGGTGAAGAATCCTAATTTTTGCATTTTACTTCACAAACAGTTCAGCAAACATGCACGCATGCATACAGATAAAGCAAGTGGGAAAATATTATTAGTTGTTGAACATAAAAGGCAGATGTATATATGTTCATTGTACTATGTGAGCTTTTCTCTGTATCTGCAATTTTCTTAATAAAAGTTGGAGGAAAGATAAACTTTAAACAGCATATTAAATGTATTTTTCTATCCTGGTTTCAGTATTCTGGGTTTCCTGGAAGTACTAAAATGATCAGTATGGTAAGGGTGAGAAGAAAGTTCAAACAGTTCATTTATAGAATGAGAGGAACAAGCTTTAGGGTTAGACGAATAAAATGTTTAACGACAGTAACTGGTTGGACAGCTGTTCTTTGTAGGCCAAGAAGTCTCACAGGGAAAGAAATAAGTTTCTTTTTTCATTCAAAAAAAATTATTTTGGCTGGGTATGTGGCTTACAACTGTAATCCCACCACTTTGGAAGACTCAGGTGGGCAGATTGCTTCAGCTTAGGAGTTCAAGACCAGCCTGGGCAACATGGTAAAACTCTTGTCTCTGAAAAAAAAAAAATACAAAAAATTAGCCAGGTGTGGTGGCACGAGCCTGTAGTCCCAACTACTCAGGAGGCTGAGGTGGGAGAAGGGCTTGAGCCCCAGAAGCAGAGGTTGCAGTGAGCCAAGATCGCACCACTGTATTCCAGCCTGAGTGACAGAGCCAGACCCTATCTCAGAAAAAAAAATTGTTTTTGTAGAGATGGGATCTCGGTATATTACCTAGGCTGATCTCAAAACTCCTGACCTCAAGTGATCCTCCTGCCTTGTCCTCCCAAAATGCTGCGATTAGAAGCATGGGCCATGACAGCCAGCCAGAAGGGCCAGTAACTAATTTTTCTTTTTTCTTCAAACCAGCACAACAGATTTGTTTTGGACTGTAAAGACAAAGAGCCTGATGTACTGTTTGTGGGAGACTCCATGGTGCAGTTGATGCAGCAATATGAGGTAAAGGTGGAAGGGGTGAAGGTGGTTTTGGCTACTCATGTATATACATTCATTACTAATAGACTTTCATTCTGAGCTGAACTTACAAACTTATTCGTGACTCTTAGAGAAGCTGCAATTGAGGGTATAAGAGAAATCCAAGCTACCTAAAGGGATTTTCTTTTAATTTGGATATGTTCTGATTTGAAGCATTGTTTATAATGAAACTTCCTCTTTTACCCTGGTTACTGAGAAGCTTATTTGGTCTAGTCAGATTTTCAGTTATTATTGTTTGTATTTTACTATTTCCTATTTGTATTTGCTGATATATATTTATCT